CTCCGATTAGCACGGTTGGGTGCATACGGTGTGAAAGAAGTTCAAAATACAGTACATACAATGCCCCCATCTACAAGTCTTTACATTTAGCGTATTCCCGCAGGAGCAGGGAATATGTGCAGAAGAGGCCTTTGACGGTGGCTATTCAGTGCCTGTCTCTGCCACCTAAAATAACCCGAAGTCTACCCACAATCCTTCACTTTCTCCAATGCACCACGAGCAAATGCATCGTGGGCTAAAGCCACCAATTTCCAATTTGGCATAATTATTGTATGGCATTAAGTGTATTATACAAGGAGAGTGACATAGGAATATCAGAAGGAATACGTTTTAAATTGTCTTTTTTAAGTTTCCTATAACACTAACTGTCCCAAAAATATTACATCATGAAAATGTAAATTGTGTATTCTGCTGTGGCAAATTGACATGTATATTTTGAAACTTGTTTAACCATGAAAGCTTCACCGAGTCTCAACTAATTTTAAGGGGTCCGACCACGTTTTTGAAGTAGGGGAAATGCTGCTTTGTGTAATCCCGATTTAATAATTTGCAGGCAATCATTCGGCATTGCCACGGTTGGCCAATACATTGTGCGTTGCTTTTAGCTATGGGCCTAAACCAGGGTAAACGCATGTCGAACACCGGGAGAACATACAAATTGCACACAAAACTCCAATTCGGGCATCGTGGGGTGATTACCACTGCGTCACGGAGCCGTCTCATTGGCAATGTTCACAATGTCGAAATGTGGGCGTCATTGCGTGAAATCTAAACTGGTGGAGGGAGGCAAGGCTGGACACATTCAGCTGCTCAAATTGTTTAAACCGTTAGAACCCATAACATGAGGTGAAAAGACCCGTCGTGTTCGAAGGGATGTTTTTTTTTGAGACCCAAGTCTGCATGAGAACACTTAGCGGCCCTTTTTGGCTCAAGTGAATGTCGTCGCAGGCACACACACTACGTGCTTTAAGTTTGGTGCAACCTGGTGGCTCATTAGACAAATGATTGCATCTTGGCCTGAAGCTCCAATGACAAGTATGCAGGACCATGCGTGTATCCCACAGTCAAGTACACGAGAGAGTGTTGAAGCGAGAGTAATATTGGAAAGCTAATTACAGATTTCCCTCGCTTTATCTGGTACTGGAGATGCATACCAAAGAAGGGGTGCAAGAAGCAACCCCGCTGCCTGCCGGGTAGCGCAGACAAAGATCCCACGTATAGCCTGAACAGACTGTTGGGGCTAGTCCTTTTAGCGAGTGGCACACGAGGGGGTGGGTGGCCAGCGCCACGCCCGGCCGCCTTTGTCTCTCCAGTGGCGATGTTTACTACACACCGCACAATGTACTCATTTGAGGCCGAGTCGACCACCGCTCCCTACAACAATGATGTCCCACGGCTGACTGCATATGAGTAAATTCAAAACGCATATAGCGAATTTTGGGTAGAACTAGGTTAACGACATACACATAAACCGAACTCGGATAAAGCAAGGGAAACTGGCAGTGATTCAGTTGGTTTAAAGGACTCTGTTGATTTTTTATTTAAAGCTTTCGTGACTGCAGTAATTCATATTCTTAGTTCTTTCGGTAAAGTCACGTTGAAGGGAAACAACGTGACTTTACAACGTGACTTTACCGAAAGAACTCTGTTGATCTCGAGATAAAACCTTTGTGTTGTTATACTACGACTCAAATCCGGGCTCGAATAAGCCAAATAATTTGGGGTAAGCCAGAACTGCTACCAATATAAATTAGGGAAATTGGTACATCATTGTCACTAATTAAGTTACGCTGTACTCCAGCCAATCCGCACGCATCAGTTTTAAACATAAAACGCGAGACGTTGCTTATCAACATTTGGGGAAGTTTAAGACGCTGTCCCCAAACCATTGTAACGAATGCCATTATTTTCTTGCGTGTGGCAAGAAAATAATTCTCGAGCTGTGTACGTGTGTATCTGTTGTGGAATTTTGGTGAAAACCCCATACCCTGGGGACGCATTGGTCTTCCCACGCAATGGCAGAGCCAGGATTTTCAGGTAGGTGGGGACAATCCCTCCAGCAATAAAAAATGATAGAGGAGTTGTTAGTAAGTAAGGACTTGTCCCTTGCTTTTTATTCGACACGTGTGCGGCGATGACGCAGGCATCGATCGAGGGTCGAATTTGAACCGCGTTGTTGTGATCGGCGCCGCGCTCGCTGAAGGTGTCGATGCCTTCAAGGAAGTCGTGGACTGTTTACGCAACTTCGCACAATTCTAAGTCACTTATAACCGCTTTGCCGTTACTTATTGCCAATTATGGATTCAGACTATTGTCCTATCATCTCAGAGTCCCTGGCACATAATAATATGCTACACAGTGGCAGTGGGGGTCACAAAATGCCGATTTATTACCAACTAGCTGTACTACCCGGCTTCGCCCGGGACTTGGATTCAGCACGCCCGCCGCCTTTGTCTCCCCAGTGGCGATGTTCACACAGCAGAGCAGTTACTCGTTTGATGCTGAGTCGACCTAGGGGAGGCTCAGGACCGGTAAAAATAATCGTCACCGGTGGTGGCCGTGAGCAGGAATCGAACTCGGGTCGCCGGGTTCGTAGCGCGGCGCGCTAACCACTACACTACAATGCGTTACGCTTCCACGTGCGTGGGTCACGTGACAGATTTGACGTCACAGCTCACTTGCCGTGCAAAAAATAAATGCATTATTGAGACCCCCCCCCACCCAAAAAAACAAAAGTGTATATTTTTTTATAATTTTGCATGGTGTACATTCTGTGAAGTACCCACATGGCAAATTTCAAGTTTGTTGCATGTCGGGAAGTACGCTAAACATTTTGAACAGACACATTCACAACTTTGCCTTTTATATTAATGGAGATGAACCCCAATGATCCGATCGAAATTAGGGATTTCGATCGGATCATTGGGGGGGGGGTCACGTGCCACCCCCCCCCCCCCACCGGCTCCGCCAGTGTTCCCACGTGCTCTGTCAGTGCATTCTCTCTCATAGCGGGTGCTTCAACATTTTTTAAAACACTTTTCGGCGACTATCGTTTTCAATGGAAAAAGAACGGACAATACACTGTAACATGATACCAAATGTATGTTAATAGCTTCAAAAAGCCAAAGAGTCTCCCACTTGTTCACCATCAGTGCCGACACGTGGCCTGGAATCTTCACTAGGCGGTCTCCAGAGCCCGGAGGCAGCAGCACATTGTCTCGTGATATTGTTGCAAATTCTCAGAAGTGTTAAAAAAATGTTGAAACACCCTGTATTTCACACCTATTTCCCAAATAAACTAAATCTTATTCTTGGTTCTTTCTGTAAAGTCACGTAGAAGGGAAACAGTTAAATAATAAAAATATAAAACACTTTTTTCAAATTTTCTTGTTGTGGTTTTCACACCTGATGATGATTGCTTGTGTTGCAGTCGAAACGTCGTGAGAATTTAATTGTTTTATATGTTTATTATTTTATTGTTTCCCTTCTACGTGGTGACTTTACCGAAATAACCAAGAATATGAATCCCTGCAGTCACGAAAGCTTTAACTCAAAATCTAAACTAAATCTGTTCATCCCTTCCTCCACATCCAGCGATTTCCCCACACAAGCCCTCCCGCGTTACAGCCTCCACCGCCAAAGCGTTAAATTAACTACGTTAATGTCGTGATTTTTTTTAGCGTTAAATCACAACGTTGAATGCGCGCGTCGTGAAGTGACGAGGTGTTCGTTAAAACGTGACAGATGCAAATGTAAATGACATTCAACTTTGTTGCTATTCTTTTTGTGATAGAAGGGAGTCCTCGGTTAATGTCGACTCGTTATACACCGTTGCTCGTGCAATAGGAAATATATTCCCTTTATAACGTTGCGACGTTCGGTTTTACGTCGTGGGAGCTCGCAAGAGGAACCACTTTGTGGGGGGCACAGAGAGAGGAGTGGCGCTGCGACAGGATGAAATTAATCCGTGACAGAATTAATTATTTTGTTTGTTTGTTAATTAATGATACGTAATGTTAATGTAGAAGGAAGGCAATCAGGGTCAAGGGGGCGGGACTGATATTGGCTCTTTAGATCCACAAATCGTCTCTTAAGATCCATAAAGCGTGTGACAGGGATCGCTGATACCGATTGGAAAACGTGTATTTAAAACGTTGCAGCTTGATCCATGCTCGATCCATGCTTGAACACATAGACACGGGAAATTAAATCGGTTGATTCCCGATTAATAGAGCATTGGATCGTTCAATTCACGTCGATTCCCGTTCCAGTATTCCTTATATGGGTAAAGCCACGTTGAATTACTCCACGTATGGGCCTAAAATATTAACATAACTTATCAATAAATCTGTCGCGGGTTCACTTGATCCTGTTAAGAACAACGGGAGGTGCTGTCCCATCATCCCCTCTCAGTCTTTGGTTCCGCTACGCAACATCGTCTATGAACCTGGATTCGGATGGCGTTAGATCGTACTTTTGTAATAGAATCCTTCAGAAGCGTTAGTCAAAAACGGACATGCGTTCGCTTCACATCCATCATTGGCGTAATCTCATGCCAGATTTATATATTTTTTATTAGTATTTAGATTCCTCGTATTTCATTTATGTTATGTTTCTGTATTTCAACGGATAATTGTGTTTTTTGTCTGGGCAGAACAAAAAAAACGTACACTGGAACGTAACTTTATTACAAGGAAAATAGGTTCACTTAAACGTGGTCCCGCTTAACGTCGCACTTTTCATAAACGCAACTACGACGTTAAGCGAGGACTCCCCCTATATTTCCATTCCATTTTAAAGGCCGAGCCCGGCTTAACGCGTGGGTTGGGGGTGGGTCATTATTCCTGTCCAGGCTAAATCTCGCGATATTTGAGCAACTCCCGTTACATTTCGGGCAAGTCTCGCGATATTTGATTTCTCTTATCCATGGGGGGAGGGGCGGGGGCGGGGGCGCGCGCGTGCGACCCCGTCAACCGATTTGAATGCAAGTCTCGCGGCGTCCGTTTGAATTCCCGTAAGCCGGTTCTTTGGTTCGCGAAGTCTCGCGATACTGTGACGCAACTCAAATTTGTGTGGCTCTCGGAGAGGCCGCGTCCCGGCGCTCGCCTCCGCGTGTGAGTTCGCGATTGAGTTGGTGGTGGTGGTGGGTGGTGGTGGTTGTGCGCTTTGTGTCTGCGGGTCATTGTGATGCTGCTGCTGCTGCTTTCCTGTGCCGCGTGTGGTGCTTGCTGCTGCTGCTGCTAGGGGGAGTGGTGGTGTCGTCGTGGTCGTCGTGGTTAGCGCGCTGCTGCGCTACGGACCCGGCGGCCCGAGTTCGATTCCCGCACACGGCCACCACGAAACACCCAGTGACGATTATCCGAACCGGTCCTGCGCCTCCACTAGATCTCCTCGGCCTCTCAAATGAGTACCACGGTGCGGTGTAGTAGTAGTAGTAGTAAACATCGCTACTTGTGGAGACAAAGGCGGCCGGGCGTGGTGCTGGCCACTCGCCCCCTCGGGTGCTACTCGTTAACAACACTTACCCCTACAGTCTGTTAAAGTCTTACACTGGCGGCGGCGGCGGATCTTTGTCTTTGTGGCAGCTGCGGCTCGGATGGAGACACGGCGGGCGTACGAGTGAGTAGGCCTCAATGCATGAGGGCCTCAAGTACGCTCCGTGTGCTCTCTACTTGAATAAAATGCACTGTGTGTACTGGGAGCCGTGCTGCGTGTACTGTGTAACACGACTGTGTACTGTGTGACACGACTGTGTGTACTGTGTGACACGACTGTGTACTGTGTGACACGACTGTGTACTGTGTACCACGACTGTGTGTACTGTGTAACACGACTGTGTACTGTGTGACACGACTGTGTACTGTGTAACACGACTGTGTGTACTGTGTGACACGACTGTGTACTGTGTGACACGACTGTGTACTGTGTGATACGACTGTGTACTGTGTGACACGACTGTGTACTGTGTGACACGACTGTGTACTGTGTGACACGACTGTGTGTACTGTGTAACACGACTGTGTACTGTGTAACACGACTGTGTACTGTGTGACACGACTGTGTGTACTGTGTAACACGACTGTGTACTGTGTGACACAACTGTGTACTGTGTGACACGACTGTGTACTGTTTGACACGACTGTGTACTGTGTGACACGACTGTGTACTGTGTAACACGACTGTGTGTACTGTGTAACACGACTGTGTGTACTGTGTGACACAACTGTGTACTGTGTGACACAACTGTGTACTGTGTGACACGACTGTGTACTGTGTGACACGACTGTGTGTACTGTGTGACACGACTGTGTACTGTGTGACACGACTGTGTACTGTGTAACACGACTGTGTACTGTGTGACACGACTGTGTACTGTGTGACACGACTGTGTACTGTGTAACACGACTGTGTACTGTGTGACACGACTGTGTACTGTGTGACACGACTGTGTACTGTGTGACACGACTGTGTACTGTGTAACGCGACTGTGTGTACTATGTGACACGACTGTGTACTGTGTGACACGACTGTGTACTGTGTGACACGACTGTGTACTGTGTAACGCGACTGTGTGTACTGTGTAACACGACTGTGTGTACTGTGTGACACGACTGTGTGTACTGTGTAACACGACTGTGTGTACTGTGTGACACGACTGTGTACTGTGTGACACGACTGTGTGTACTGTGTGACACGACTGTGTACTGTGTGACACGACTGTGTACTGTGTAACACGACTGTGTACTGTGTGACACGACTGTGTGTACTGTGTGACACGACTGTGTGTACTGTGTAACACGACTGTGTACTGTGTGACACGACTGTGTACTGTGTAACACGACTGTGTACTGTGTAACACGACTGTGTACTGTGTGACACGACTGTGTACTGTGTGACACGACTGTGTGTACTGTGTAACACGACTGTGTACTGTGTGACACGACTGTGTACTGTGTGACACGACTGTGTACTGTGTGACACGACTGTGTGTACTGTGTAACACGACTGTGTGTACTGTGTGACACGACTGTGTACTGTGTGACACGACTGTGTACTGTGTGACACGACTGTGTGTACTGTGTAACACGACTGTGTACTGTGTGACACCACTGTGTACTGTGTGACACGACTGTGTACTGTGTGACACGACTGTGTACTGTGTGACACGACTGTGTACTGTGTGACACGACTGTGTGTACTGTGTGACACGACTGTGTACTGTGTAACACGACTGTGTACTGTGTGACACGACTGTGTACTGTGTAACACGACTGTGTACTGTGTGACACGACTGTGTACTGTGTGACACGACTGTGTACTGTGTGACACGACTGTGTGTACTGTGTGACACGACTGTGTACTGTGTGACACGACTGTGTGTACTGTGTAACACGACTGTGTACTGTGTGACACGACTGTGTGTACTGTGTGACACGACTGTGTACTGTGTGACACGACTGTGTGTACTGTGTAACACGACTGTGTACTGTGTAACACGACTGTGTACTGTGTGACACGACTGTGTACTGTGTAACACGACTGTACTGTGTGACACGACTGTGTACTGTGTGACACGACTGTGTACTGTGTGACACGACTGTGTGTACTGTGTGACACGACTGTGTACTGTGTGACACGACTGTGTACTGTGTGACACGACTGTGTACTGTGTGACACGACTGTGTACTGTGTAACACGACTGTGTGTACTGTGTGACACGACTGTGTACTGTGTGACACGACTGTGTACTGTGTGACACGACTGTGTGTACTGTGTAACACGACTGTGTACTGTGTGACACCACTGTGTACTGTGTGACACGACTGTGTACTGTGTGACACGACTGTGTGTACTGTGTGACACGACTCTGTACTGTGTAACACGACTGTGTGTACTGTGTGACACGACTGTGTACTGTGTGACACGACTGTGTGTACTGTGTAACACGACTGTGTACTGTGTAACACGACTGTGTACTGTGTAACACGACTGTGTACTGTGTGACACGACTGTGTACTGTGTAACACGACTGTGTGTACTGTGTAACACGACTGTGTACTGTGTGACACGACTGTGTACTGTGTGACACGACTGTGTACTGTGTGACACGACTGTGTGTACTGTGTGACACGACTCTGTACTGTGTAACACGACTGTGTGTACTGTGTAACACGACTGTGTGTACTGTGTGACACGACTGTGTACTGTGTGACACGACTGTGTACTGTGTGACACGACTGTGTGTACTGTGTAACACGACTGTGTACTGTGTGACACCACTGTGTACTGTGTGACACGACTGTGTACTGTGTGACACGACTGTGTGTACTGTGTGACACGACTGTGTACTGTGTGACACGACTGTGTGTACTGTGTAACACGACTGTGTACTGTGTAACACGACTGTGTACTGTGTGACACGACTGTGTACTGTGTAACACGACTGTGTGTACTGTGTAACACGACTGTGTACTGTGTGACACGACTGTGTACTGTGTGACACGACTGTGTACTGTGTGACACGACTGTGTGTACTGTGTGACACGACTCTGTACTGTGTAACACGACTGTGTGTACTGTGTAACACGACTGTGTACTGTGTGACACGACTGTGTACTGTGTGACACGACTGTGTGTACTGTGTGACACGACTGTGTACTGTGTGACACGACTGTGTGTACTGTGTAACACGACTGTGTACTGTGTGACACGACTGTGTGTACTGTGTGACACGACTGTGTACTGTGTGACACGACTGTGTGTACTGTGTAACACGACTGTGTACTGTGTAACACGACTGTGTACTGTGTGACACGACTGTGTACTGTGTGACACGACTGTGTACTGTGTGACACGACTGTGTACTGTGTGACACGACTGTGTACTGTGTGACACGACTGTGTGTACTGTGTGACACGACTGTGTGTACTGTGTGACACGACTGTGTGTACTGTGTAACACGACTGTGTACTGTGTGACACGACTGTGTACTGTGTGACACGACTGTGTACTGTGTAACACGACTGTGTACTGTGTGACACGACTGTGTGTACTGTGTAACACGACTGTGTACTGTGTGACACCACTGTGTACTGTGTGACACGACTGTGTACTGTGTGACACGACTGTGTGTACTGTGTGACACGACTGTGTGTACTGTGTAACACGACTGTGTGTACTGTGTGACACAACTGTGTACTGTGTGACACGACTGTGTGTACTGTGTGACACGACTGTGTACTGTGTGACACGACTGTGTACTGTGTGACACGACTGTGTGTACTGTGTGACACGACTGTGTACTGTGTAACGCGACTGTGTGTACTGTGTAACACGACTGTGTGTACTGTGTGACACGACTGTGTGTACTGTGTGACACGAGTGTGTACTGTGTAACACGACTGTGTACTGTGTAACACGACTGTGTGTACTGTGTAACACGACTGTGTGTACTGTGTGACACGACTGTGTGTACTGTGTGACACGACTGTGTACTGTGTAACACGACTGTATGTACTGTGTAACACGACTGTGTGTACTGTGTAACACGACTGTGTACTGTGTAACACGACTGTGTGTACTGTGTAACACGACTGTGTGTGCTGTGTGACACGACTGTGTGCACGGTGCAGTACTTTGAGCACGAATGTCGGTGCTGTACTGTGGCGGTGGTTGCGACCGCTAACCGGGTCGCAACCACCACGTGTCACGTTGTAGTGCGGTTCACGTGGAGTACCGTAGCGGCGTGTAAGTTAACGTGGCGGTGCACTGCAATACTTGGGCTACTTGGGCATCGTTGCCAGTGCAGTGACGACACTCTTCTGTGACACTGCGCGTTGTTTAACGCAGTGAGTGGACTGTCTACGTGAGGTGCTGTAATAGCATTTAGCTGTCAACGCCTTGTCAGTGGCCTACCCTTATTGTGGACCAATTCAGATGTTATCGGTCATCCCGTGCCCCTTATAAAGCTCAACGTTCATCCTACAAAGTCCCATCACAGGGAGAGAAACACAAATAGACATTCTGTTGGCAGTATCGAAACGGCTGTACGCTGTATGGACCTGAAAAAAAATCTATTTTCCCTCTACAAGAATACGGGGAACCCGTATGGGTT